GGCTTGGCGGTGGAGGGGGGCGGCGGAGGAGCTCGTACCTGGAGGAGGTGGCGCGCAGGAGCATTTTGCGTTACGGCGGGGCCTGCAGCAGACCGAGCGTTTGGTTCTGTAGTGTCTCGGTTAGGCATGGTTGCAGGAGGTGGCTGACAGCCGTTAGAATGGTGTAAAGGATCAAATTCTGATGGTGTTCTTTTATTTCTGCGGTCTAGTCCTCGGCACACTTTGTCCTAAATTATCATTTTCATTTTACTCGGATCCACAGATGGCGGGTGAGAAGGCAGCTGCTGAGAAAAAGCCAGGCGAGAAGGCGGCTGGTGAGAAAAAGCCAGGCAAGAAGAAGACAAGTGAGAAGCCGCCAGCTGAGCAGAAAGGAAGCCAGAAGGAAGCTGGTGAGAAGAAAAAGAAGGTTAGGAAGCATCATGCCAGCCGTAACCCTGTCCTGGCCCGGGGTATCGGGAGGTATTCCCGCTCAGCCATGTATGCCAGGAAGGCTCTGTACAAGCGCAAGTATACTGCTCCGGAAACAAAGGTAAGATAAAAAACACTGTCTTTGAATAATCATGGGTTTTGTGAGGACTTTGGTTTGAAACGTCATACGTTTTCCCTTTTCTTTGTTTACAGATAGAAAAGAAAAGGAAAGAAAAGCCACGCGCAACCATCACCAAGCCGGTGGGTGGAGACAAGAATGGAGGCACCCGTGTGGTTAAAATCCGCAAAATGGTAAGAAACAGGACTCAGACATGCACAGTTTAAGGCTGTTACGTGTCGGTTTTGACCAGACAATGCACCTCTTGGCTGGGGCAACACCAGCCTCGGCCCGTGCCGTGCTTCGCTGAAGTGCCGGCTGTTCTCTCCCCGAGATACGGACCTGGTGTTTGTCGGGTTTGGGGGAGATGCTGGTGATTTAGAGGATGGTCAGTAGGCAAGAGCAGGGCCTCCTCTGCTTCTTGTATCGCTGGGCTGAATTGGAAGCACGTGTAGAAATACAGCGCTGCTGTCAACTTTTGCTGTTGCATAATTGGACAGAAAACATTCCGTGTGTTCCTGAAGTGTCGGTTGCAACAGAAAAAAAAAATAAATTCAGAAAGGTTGTCAGTATCTTTTACAAATGGGAGAATCTAAACAGTAGTGCAGGCTTTCTGTCCTGTGGAGTACATGGGGTACAACATTTTGCTTTTCTTTTTCCAGCCCAGATATTACCCCACTGAGGATGTTCCTCGCAAGCTTTTGAGTCACGGCAAAAAGCCCTTTTGCCAGCACAAGAGGCGGCTGCGGGCCTCTATTACTCCAGGAACCGTTCTGATCCTTCTGACCGGTCGTCACAGAGGCAAGGTAACCCCGGGCTTCTTCCTGTTGGCTCCCTCAGTGGCTTTGCAGCATTTCTGTGCTGAAACCGTTTGGACCGAGCAGAGGTATCAGGGATTTACCAGCTGATTGCACAAGACTCTGCTCAGTCAGGAGATGCAAATATGTCTTTTCTGTGTGAATTCTGTCTAGATGCTTTCTCTCATCCTGCCGTTAGGGAAAACAGGCTTTAAACTAATATTCCTCTACACAGAACTGGAAGTAAAACAGGCTGGTCCAGTTGCCTAGAATTAAGGGAGTCTTACTGCAGTGCAGAAAAGCGTGTAGATTCCTGTCGTGCTGCCATTGTGCTGCAGAATGTCGGGCCCAACGCCCGCTTCTAACTGTTGACAATGAGGATGAAACTTCATCTTGGAGTAGTGATTGCACAGGAAAAATTACACTTTCGTTAATCTAATTACCAAGGTAACACTTGATTGGTAAATATTAGGACGTGTTCTTCATCTTAATGATGTTTACTAACAGGTCTTAGCTGGTTTCATTTATTTTATTGAATTCTTTGGCTTTGATGTCACATTACTTAATGTTGTTCAGAGAAGGAAAACTTTAGCAGAAGGAGCAAGATGCAACTGGGGGATGGCTCTGACCGTGGGATATGTTGTGGTGCCCTTCTGGTTTTTTTATCTAGTCTCTCCCTTTAACTCGTACAAAGAACGTGGGTGACAAGATGGCTGCCTCGCCATCCTGTAGATTAAACAAAGATTCAAAAACGAACTAATGTGCTCAGCCTTGACTGATAGAGCACGCGGAGAGTTGCAGCCTGTCCTAGGTGAGGAAACTCTGGCAGGGCTGTACTCCGAGAACGTTGGCAGCTTGTCTCAGGTGGTGGTGGCTTCCCAGGTCGTGCAGTTGGCCCGTGCCCGGGTGCTTTGTGCTTACACCCGCAGCGCGGGCATGGTCCTGGCCCCCGGTACGTGAGTGCTGGCACCTGAGGACTGATGTCGCATCTCATCTCTTTCCAGCGTGTGGTCTTCTTGAAGCAGCTTGCTACTGGCCTTCTGCTTGTTACAGGTAAAAAAACCTTTCGTATAAACGTAATAATTTTGGTTTTGTTTGTTTGAGGGGGGGTTTGTGGATTTGGGTGGCTGGTTTTAAGTTCAGGTTTCCCTCCGTTGTCTGTAGTGCTGCAGATTTATGTACGGGTGGTTTGGCACATCATGTCTTCACGTGATTACGTGGAGACACATTCTGTGACTTTCTAAGAGAACATTAAGCTTCAGTATCTGACTACCTGGAAGGTATCAGGGAGCATTTTTTTTTGCTTTTCTGGAGTTTGTGAAGAAGGGCTTTGTGGATTGTTCAGATTTTAGCTGTAGGTATTTCTGAAGAAACCAGTCATCTCATACCCTACAAAAAGTCAACTTAAAAGCAGTGGGTTTTGCCAGGAGAGCTAACCTTGTTCTTTCTTCCGTCTTCACTCTGCCTTTAGGACCTTTGGTTATCAACCGTGTCCCTCTGCGTAGGGCCCATCAGAAATTTGTCATCGCTACGTCTACGAAGGTTGATATCTCAGGAGTGAAAATTCCCAAGCATCTCACTGATGCGTACTTTAAGAAGAAGAGGCTGCGTAAGCCCAAGCACCAGGAAGGCGAGATCTTTGACACTGAAAAAGAAGTAAGGAATATGGTTATTCACTCCTTCTGAGTGCCTTGGTACCTAAAGCCAGGCTGGGAAGGGGGGAAATACCATGAATGGATAACTAAATTTTAAGTGGTCCTCAATAAAGTGAGGTAATACCATTAAAATTAATTAATACAGCAGCATTGAGATCACCCTTTTTAATTGGGGGACTCTTTTCTGCTACTACCTTAGAACAGCAGCAGTGATTATTCGAGTTAAATGTCTTTTTGGACCAAGAAACACCTTTACTGTTTTGATACTGCCAACAGCACGCTGCTGGCTCTCAGATCTACAACATAAGCCAAACAGTGGCTTCAGTTCTCTGCCACCTCCGGTCTCCTACCACCTTCCCCATATTTAGAACAAATGGAGAAAAGATTTCCTGAAAATGCCAGAACTCAGGGTTTGCCCTGAATTTTCTCATCTCCGTAGAAAAGTCTGAAGTCGCTCTGTGGGATTTTAACATTCTTCTTTGTACTTTCTAGAAATACGAGCTAACGGAGCAACGCAAGTCAGACCAGAAGGCGGTGGATTCGCAGATCCTCGCACGAATCAAGAAGGTGCCTCAGCTCCGTGGGTACCTGCGTTCTACGTTCTGCCTCTCAAATGGAGTCTATCCTCACAAATTGGTGTTCTAACTGGTCTGAAAGCACCACATTAAATCCGAAGGGAAAAAAAACAAGGATTTCTGGTGTCTTTATTGCGATCCATAACGGGATGTGTTGCGCAGATCTTGCAGGGCACGTTATTTAATGAATAAGGAAACTGCTCGTGACATGAAATTCTGAGGGACTGTATGTAAATGACTGGATTTTGACTGTATAAGGGTTTGGGGTGGGATTTTTTTTCTGATTTGGTATAACTAGAGAGGAATTGGCACTTGAATTTCAGTTTTCTTAAATACGAATGAGTTAGGGAGGGGGAAAAAAAAAAAAACCAACAACTATTTTCTTTTGGGAAAGAGGGATACATGCTGGATCAGCTAGCCAACTGGACACATTCCAGAAGAAACATCCAGCCCAGTGCCTGTGCTGGTGTACTTCTGCACCCTTACTGCTTCAGGTATCTTGTGTTTTGGGAAGAACCAGCACTGCTAGGTAACTCGTTACCATTTTAAAGCTCTGTCGAGATGGTATTTCTGACAAACTGCTTTGATCCATCAATCACCACGCAAACCACAGCTAATATAGAAACTTTTTAGAGCCATTTCAGGAGCTGTGCCTTGCATTTTGAAAGAAGTTCAAAGTTTTGCAGGGTTATTTATCAACACAAGAACCATAACAGTATTTAGAATGTATGTCCCTTCCCAAATCCCGTCTGTTTTTTCCTGTTCTTTGTTTATCCACGTGGGATGTAATGCTTTTAGTTGGGAAGAATACCACCTGCTTAGATCAAAAAGCGTGAGTCTTAATTCTGTAGGTTTAGAAATGAGTTGAAATCTGTGAAAGGCAAGTATTTTTCTGTCCTGGGAGACTTCCAGAATCTCAACAATTTTTTCTGCCTCAAAAACTGGTAGAAACTGAGTTAAGAAAGTTAGTGCTGTCTGTTTTCTTTATCTCTTAAGGTCAGTTACCAGATATCTGGAAGAGGATGCTTGGGTAGCGATAGCTCTGCTCTTAGAAAAAACAAGGATGTACATATTAACAAATCTGGCACGCTTGAGCTCTTTCTTAGCCAGACTTAGGCAGGAAACGAGGCTTATATAACTGCACCATCTGTCTTCCTATTAATTCTTAGCTGAAAGTAGCCAATGGGGTCAAACTTGACGGGGAGTAGAGATTTCATCAAATTCATACAAGCTTCAAGGAAAAGGGATCGAAAAGGGAGTAGTACGACCCTCACTGAGGCAGAAGTCTGCAACATGCCACGTTCATGGGGGAAGAGGGATTGGGCTTTGGCTGTTCCAGAGCTGAGGAAGGAACAAGAATATCTGCCTCAGTGGATTCCTGCACTAAGGGACTATGGTGATCCTTACAGCTGATGCTGGCTGGTGTTAAGAGTATGGAAGTACTGGTTACTCTTCCACCATCTTCCTCTTGGTACTTAACGTATTCAATATTAGTGTGGTTCAGCAGAGGGAGCCAGCGAGCAAGCTGAGCCCAAACCCATAACTGGCTGGGTGTGCTGTGCATCTCGTGTTGCTATGTGCTAGGTTCTGCCCTGTGGTACTCCAGGTTCTTTATATTTCAGTGTCATTATAACTGATCACAGATGTAGTTCCATCTTCTGTTGTACGTGGTTTGGTGGATAATGGGTATAGTCAAAAGGTTTCTTAAGTTGTTTTGCTGCAGTGATGGGACTGGCCTGTTTGTATGAATCAGCTCTAAAAAGATACAAAGCTGTTGCACGTATCTCTCTGCTAGTTCTCAGATAAGTTTACTGATAGCTTAGAAAGCTCACTTAAAGTAAAAATTGTACCTCAGATGGGAAAAGTCCAAAATGAGAGAATAGACCTCTTAATCAGAATAGCATGTGGAATCACAAAGGCTGCAAACAGATTTGGTCACACAGCTGTCTAAGAGAACACCTGAGAGGTACTAGTGCTTCAGACATTCCCTTTTATATAAAATTATGATACATTCCTCATTTGTGTATCAGAAGACATGAAATGATGCTTGAAACCATTAACCTTTTTTACTGAATGGGGAGGTTTTTTTCTCCCAGTGTGCTGTCAGGAAGTGATTTGCTCACATAATTCAGTTGTTTCAATAGGTCCTGGCGTGGAGAAACGGTCTCACGTGCTGCCATCGCCTCCCTCGCCCCAGCCCTGTCACTTGTCTGACTAGGTGATGGCCAGTAACACAGCCCTGCAAGGTGGGGAGAGGGGGAGGAATTGAATATTTTCCTGCTGGTTTAGATCCCTGAACTGAGTCACTGTGGGACCAGATGAATGTTGGTGTCAGCACAAAGGGGCGTGGGAGCGGGCCTGCTTCTGGAGGCGCTAGCTGTTAAGTCAAATTTTAACACCAAATCATGCCTTCCCAGGACCGAGCAGCTCCCCGGGCTCTGCTGCAGAAAATGGAGACAGCAAAACACTCTCAGGGAAAGGCAGCTGGTGGACAGCTGTGATTTGTCTCTCTCTTAACCTCTAAAATATTTTCCTTGAGTTCTGTGGAATCTGGCTTTTTTTCTGAAATGCTCTGGGGTAGGGGGGGATGGAAAAAGAGGAAAAAAACCAAGGACTGTAGAGATGACCGACACAGGAACAAAGTGAATATTCGGAAGGATTTTTCAATCTAGATAATACTGTCCACTACCTGAAAGATACTTCCACCACATAAAGAGCTTTTGTGTGTGTTCTCGCTGTCCCGCAGCTTTTCTCATTCTGAGCATGTAAACAGTTCTGCAGTCCTGGCTCGCTGAGTCATTGCTTTCCACCGAGCATCCCCCACAGAAGAAGCTAGAGACATCCAAAGCCTCAGTCACCCAATCAAAAGTGCTGGAGATGTGCAAGTCCAAAAATAGTGACAGACTCAACCACAGCAGCACTTCATTAGCATCAAATGTGCTCTTTGCTTCAGCTGCCTAATAAAGTGATATGTAATTATAATAAAGCATCCTTTTGAGAGGAAAGATAGAGGGATGTTGGCTTTCTCGGGGAATTGGTAATAAGATGCAATGCCTCATTATCTACAGGCACCTATTTTTATCTATTAGCTGCCCCTGTGAAATGACCTGGTGGCTTCAGTCCAGCCCAGAGAGGCTCTGTCCCAGCTGCCGTGCTGGCCGCAGCCTTGCGGAGGCAGACAGCAGCCTCGCTGCTGGGATTTAGAGCTTTAGGAGAAACTGAGGTTTATTTGCAAGACAAAGTAGTGAACGGGACCTCTGGCATTTCAGGTGTGACACAATCAGTCTGAATGTTAATTAAGACGACGTTAGGGCTGCAGTGTGAAGGGGCTTTCACAGGACTTCCCCATTTACCATTTTGGCCAAGTGTTGAGGAAAATATGCCCAAATTTCCAACGACCAGCTACTCAGTTCCCCTATGCTATAGGATGCCTGTAAGATGTGCCTTGTCACGCAGGGGCAGCTGAGCCTTTTTCCACCAGCGTATTTTCACCTGATCCCTGTTCTTCCTCTCCTCGTAGCTCACAGAACTTCTGCCACTTCTCATACCCAGCCCAGCTTCTGCAAAAAGTGATTCTGGAGCTTTCCACAAGCTCAATAAAGAATAAACAGAATTTGAGGACAGCTGGTCATCACCACCTGGAAGAAGCTCTGCTTTAGCCTCACAGAAAATGCAGGCTAGATCAGCTGAGAAACCGTTTGTAGAGGAGAGCTGGCCCAGGCAGCCTTCGTCTAGCAAATGCTAGAGAACTCCTTCTACTCTCCTCCAAATGCTGATTCCCATCTCATTTTCAATGATTCAAGCATTAGAAGCCCCATCCAAATGGATTTTACTAACAGAATTTGTTCCAGATTCTCTGTATATTCTTCATTCAGTACATTTTGTTTCTTGTCTTTCAGTGCAGAGGACTTCCTGGTCTGTCCTTATTAAAATCAACTGGTTTTTAAGATCAAAACTGGTTTTTACAGGTTTCTAACTCCAGGCGAGCAACTACCCTGCTCAGTTTGAAACTGGGCAGCAGAGTTCTGCCCTGTCCCTGGCTCACTGTGAAGGCTGTGTTACTGACCTCTAATCTTAAAGTTCCACTGGGATAAGAGATCGCACCATTTCCCCATGCTGTTTAGGAGATGAGGCAGTATACTGAGCTATAAATATCAGTGGCCCCTACGATTTTATCAGCTACAACAACAGTTACGAGGTGGACACACGGACAGCTTAGTCCAAGAGATCTAGAACCACGTAGGAGTCATGTAAACTCTACTGCATGTTCTTCTGTCATTGCACATAATGTCACATAAATGACATAATCGTATGGCTACAGGATTGAGAGCTCCCGCTTCTATTCTGGTTTGGAGACAGCAGCTGAAGTTCCCGGAGACTTGTGTGGGAACGTGGGGATGCAGGCAAAGGAGAACTATTTACCTGTTAATTTGACTTCCTCAGTTCTGTATTACAGTCTGCACTAAGCACTTGACAACTCATTGTTGAAGCCAATTAGAGCAATTAAATCCGTATTTTTATAAGGATCTTATTCATAATAGTTCTCGGTATTTTTTTTCCTCATTGTTCAGGAAGCCACTAATTAAACAAAGCGAGCCAGTCCCACTGGCTGCAGTCACCACTCGCACTGAGTCATGCAGGAGGGTTGGTCTCTGATGGTTATGGGTGGCATTTAACATGCCTGCCAGTAAGCAACCATGGGATTCCTTACTTGATTCTTTTGCATTGTTTGTTTGGGGGCTTTTTTTAGATCAGACCAGTCTAATGACCCTCTAGCAGATGAAGAGTCAAAAAATATTTTTGTCAGCTGACTGCCTTTTAGGGCTCATCTTATCCTCGTTTTTGTTTTTGTTTTCCCTATTATTTCAATGTTTATCTTTCTCAGTGGAAATTACTTCACATGATAGATTGTACACACAGCCAGCAATTTCTGTGACCTAACCATGGTTCACACTATACCAGACATAAATACTTATTAGTAGTAATAAGGATAAAGAGAGAGGAAGCATGCTAGTCAAAATATTACCTGAGATAAATAAATTTTTTTCTTTCTCAGCTCTATTGATTTTCTGTGTGATCCTGAGTAACTTAATTTCATTGAGGTCAGTGCTCACATA